GCCGGGCACGGTGGCCCAAGCCTGTAATCCCAGCACTTTGGGAGGCCGAGGCGGGTGGATCACAAGGTCAAGAGATCGAGACCATCCTGGTCAACATGGTGAAACCCCGTCTCTACTAAAACTACAAAAAAATTAGCTGGGCATGGTGGCGCGTGTCTGTAGTCCCAGCTACTCAGGAGGCTGAGGCAGGAGAATTGCCTGAACTCAGGAGGCGGAGGTTGCGGTGAGCCGAGATCGTGCCATTGCACTCCAGCCTGGGTAACAAGAGCGAAACTCCGTCTCAAAAAAACAAAACAAACAAATAAATAAATAAATTAAAAAACCCAAAAACCCCCACAAAGTCTTTAAGAAAAGCAGAAAAAGACAATATTCTAAATTGTTTCTTTTTTTCCCCCCCCGTGAGATGGAGTCTCACTCTGTTGCCCAGGTTGGAGTCCAGGGGTGTGATCTTGGCTCACTGCAATCTCGGACTCCCGGGTTCAAGCGTTTCTCCTACCTCAGCCTACCGGCGAACTGGGGTTACAGGCATGCGGCACTACGCCCAGCTAATTTTTTCGTACTTTTAGTACAGACAGGGTTTCACCATGTTGGCCAGGCTGGTCGTAAACTCCTGACCTCCTGATCTGCCTGCCTCGGCCTCCCAAAGTGTTGAGATTACAGGTGTGAGCCACCATGCCCGGCCTTCATAATGTAATTTTTTTTTAATTAAGAAAAAGATGGTAAGCAAAATAATTAGTTCATATGACTAAATTATAAGCTTCTGAGAAATTGTTCTACAACTGAAAAACTGCTCTAAACATACAGCTTGTACCAAGACAATATCTTCTAGCACAATAAAGTCCAATTCATCTATATTTGAGACTAATCCTCAAGGAATAAAAATGCAAACGATTACTGAGGTCGAAGTTCAACTTGGAAGAAAAGTTTCCTGTAGAAATTTGTTAGGCTGCAAGGAGTACTAGCTGACATAAAGTTTAGCCTTGAGGGAATACTAATAACGTTAGTTTCTTATTACAATGAAACTTCCAAATCATTTCTAGCAGGCAACATTTTGTTAGCTGTGATTTTTACACATTTGAAAAAAGAATGTATGTTTCAAATTCATAATTCGATTTTATTGAAAATTCTCAATTTCTTTTCGAACAATAAAATTTCCGAAGTTTTACCAAATTACAAAGGTAATATGATAATCCCCTCCTTTCAATTTCAGCAGAATACAAATAACAAAACTGCTACAAAGAGTCCTGTGTACTCTGCTATTTTTAGTAGAAACACAAACACTGCCAGTTTAGTATTAAATGATAATTTTATGTTGAAGGATATTTGCCAGTTATGCTGAATGCATGCCAGGTAGAATACTTGTTTTCTTATCAAAATAAACTGGAAGGAGTAGTTAAAATAAACTTTAGCCATAAAATAAATCTTTGTGTTTTGACTGGGTCAGCTACAAGTGGTTTATTTAAAAAATGTACAATAGCCTGATTAGACTTCTAAGATTCTGGTGAGTTTTGACGTAACAGTTGAACAAGTATTACACCAAGGCACAGATCTGGTTGGCAAATAAGCTTTTTTTTTTTTTTTTTTTTTGAGACATAGTCTTGTTCTGTCGCCAGGTGCCAGGCTGGAGTGCAGTGGTGCAATCTCGGCTCACTGCAACCTCTGCCTCCTGGGTTCAAGCCATTCTCCTGCCTCAGCCTCCCGAGTAGCTGGGACTACAGGCACATGCCACCATGCCCAGCTAATTTTTGTATTTTTAGTAGAGATGGGGTTTCACCAGGCACCATGTTGGCCAGGATGGTCTCGATCTCCTGACCTCGTGATCCACCCGCCTCAGCCTCCCAAAATGCTGGAATTACAGGCATGAGCCATGGCTCCTGGCCGTCAAATAAGCTTTCAAGAAAGGAGAACACTGGCTGGGTGTGGTAGCTCACACCTGTAATTCCAGCACTTTGGGATGCTGAGGTGGGTGGATCACGAGGTCAGGAGTTCAAGACCAGCCTGGCCAAAATGGTGAAACCCTGCCTCTATTAAAAATATAAAAATTAGCCAGGTGCAGTGGCAGTCACCCAGCTACTCGGGAGGCTGGGGCAGGAGAATCGCCTGAACTGGGGTGTGGAGGTTGCAGTGAGCCAAGAGTGCACCACTGTACTCTAGCCTGGGTGACAGAGTGAGACTTCATCTCAAAAAAAAAAAGGAAGGAAAACATCATTATCTGCAGGAATCCTAGATAGATATCGTGTGAAAAAAAAATGATTCCTCAGGGAAGGGAGACTCTTTCAAGATTATACGTATGTGAGAGTAAGAAAACAGTAAATGGCACAGTACAGAGTGAGAACAGTAGTAGCAACTTGCAGAAGAAACAAGTTGGGAGATCAGAACATAGACACGATAGATCTATATTAATATAAAAAACATGAGATTTAACTTAACGTGCACATGAGAAGGGAAAATGCTCAGACAGAATTGAGAATTTCAGAGAAAAAACCCCACAAAACTCTGGATGAGAAAAAACTGGAATTATGGTAAGCCTTCATACAGCAGTGCAAGTGTAAATTCTATAGAAAGGGATAAAAAAAGTTCAGATGTCACTCACCAGTCATTTTCAGACTCAAAGTAACAAACGGAAATGAGTCGTGCTCCACTTCCCACAGCAAATTTGTTCTCTAGGGGGGACCACTTCACAAAAGTAGCTGCACGATTAATTCTCAGGATCACCAGGGTTGGCTTCCAGATACCATCTTTCTGACTCCAGACATAGGCATTTCGGTCTGCCCCGCAAGTGACGATGCGGTCGCTCTTGGGAGCCCAGTCAATACCTGCAAAGTGAGACATGGGTCATCTGCTTTGCCCAGTCAATGACAAATTGCGGCACAGGCAGACTGGCTGTTACTTGATAATTGTGGAATCTAGGAGATAGATATAAAAGGCTCATTATACTATTTCAGTTTTTAAAAGCCTGTTTACAATTTTCCATGGTAACATATTTCTTTTTTTTTTCCCCCCACATTCTGATTATTTTAATAATTTGAGTTCTGGGATACAAGTGCAGGATGTGCAGGCTTGTTACATAGGTAAATGTGTGCCATGGTGATTTGCTGCACCTATCAACCCAACACCTAGGTATTAAGCATCACATGCATCAGCTATTTAGCTTGTTGCTCCCTCCTCCCTGCTCCCCGAAATAGGCCCCAGCATGTGGTATTCCCCTCCCTGTGTCCATGTGTTCTCATTGTTCAGCTCCCACTTATAAGTGAGAACAAGCAGATTTGGTTTTCTGTTCCTGTGTTAGTTTGCTGAGGATAATGGCTTCCAGCTCCATGCATGTCCCTGCAAAGGACATGATTTCGTTCCTTTTTACGGCTGCATAGTATTCTGTGATGTATATGTAACACATTTTCTTTATCCAGTCAATCATTGATGGGCATTTGGGTTGATTCTGTGTCTTTGGTATTGCGAATAGTACTGCAATGAATATACAAATGCATGTATCTTTATAGTGGAATGATTTATATTCCTTTGGGTATATACCCAGTAATGGGATTGTTGGGTCAACATGTTTCTTAAAAAGGGAAACTATCAAATATTTAACACAAAAAAACCAAACTCTATAACTCTGATATCCTTGATGTTTTCCATACATCTTTTCTTTATAGTACGGACTACTTTTTTCTTCCAGAATGCTTTAGAAAATATTTTTTTCATGCCTGTAATCCCAGCACTTTGGGGGGCTGAGGCGGGTAGATCATGAGGTCAGGAGTTTGAGGTGTGACAAACATGGTGAAACCCCATCTCTACTAAAAATACAAAAATTAGCTGGGTGTGGTGGTGGCCACCTGTAATCCCAGCTACCCAGGAGGCTGACGCAGGAGAAACGCTTGAACCTGGGAGGCAGAGGTTGCAGTAGCCAAGATCACGCCATTGCACTCCAGCCTGGGCTACAGGGCAAGATGCTCCATCTCA